TATAGCCCATATATGGCAGTGCCCCCCCCCCGGGGGGGGGGTTGACACGAATTTTGTGTAAACGAGAACGAGGAGAGAATTGAGGAGGAACTGCAAAACAAAATAAAACGAAACAAAACCAAAACGTGCGTTAAGGCTCATCACATATTAATGCAGTCTTAAAACGGCTGAGGGGTTCACCTTGAAATTATGCTTGACCATTTGACATGATTCAGATTTTAAATGTTCAACTTAAAGTTACTTGCAATTGAATAATTGAATTGCACTATGTGTTCATTCTTTGTGTACGAACTCATCGAAACTCATTTATTAAATGTGATTTCTTAGTATTGCATTGCGCATCCCTACTGCGCACGATTTTCGCGTCATTAGCGCGGGCACATGAGCGCGCGCGCGTACAAAACGTAAGAGATTTCCCTCAAACTAAGTTCGATAGCGAAATAAATGCTCCTTTTCTCTTAAACGAGCACGGTGACCCCCACTTTTTTCACAATTTCAATGAGAGCAATATCCTTAATAACTGAGAAAAAAATTAGCAGAAATCTATGGCTACTTTTCTGGCAAATGAAATAAATACTACAGAAGGAGACATAACGGGCCCATCAGCGCATGTCCAAATTATGTTTCCTCTAAAGGATAAAAAATGCACGGTATTTGAAGACATTTTTTCTGAGATGTAGATGAATAAACAATCAAAGAGAGTCAAACTCCGTGTGATATAACACGCTGTATTGAAAAATAATCGAGTTTATTTGTTGCGCACGGAGATTACCAAAGTCACCTAAATAACCGTATTTGTCAGCATTGTGGCGTGAAAACAAGCACGGTGACCCTCCTTGTTCTGTAACAACAGCATACCAAGTTTCATCGGAAATCTATGGCGGGTTCTTTTACTAGGAATCACTTTAACAGCCCGTAACCTCCGTATTACAAAGACTGTGACTTTAAAGGCCTTTACTGAGCTCAGTTGTGTAAGTTTGGGGCAAATGCTTTAATTTAAGTTCTGTTTGTATACTTTTCTGTGTTGAAAATTTGTAAATACCATTATATGTTTTGAACTAAACAGTTTAAATTCTACGAATTTTCACAATGATTTATATTCACAAGAATATTTGAGCCTAAAATCGGCGGAAAATAAGAATATTCAACCTCGGCCGGAAAAGCAATATTCCTATAAAAAAAAAAAAATGCAGTGTATGTATATGATCGTGATATTTTAAGCCGAAATTAACCAGATCTCGGAGAAATTCTCTCGCACCTGCCGTGTGAGTTTGAATCGAGTTACGCTCGACTACTGTGTGTTTGTCGAAAAATAGCCGCCCCTCAATTTATCGCTCTCCTTGAATAATCGCCTTCTTTGAATAATCGCTCCTCTCCCACCCTCCTAACCCTAATTATCGTCCTTCAGTAATCAATCCCTTCTCACTAGACGTAACATTGCGGTAAACGTGAATGCACTCTTTTTTTTTAATACGAGTATTGTTTTCCGGCCGAGGCTGAGAATTCTTATTTTTCTGCCAATTTTAGGCTGAAAATATTCTACGATTATACCGTATGACAATTCTGTTTTCGAACGTATTTGGTGTCTGGATGGTGTAAAAGTAATTTTGGAGCCAGCTTGCGGGCATTAAAGCCCGATATGACGCACATAACTTCTTGCAGAAATGTTTTTAGCATCGAACATACGGCTAGTGCTGTTTTTGTTGCTCTTTGGCTAGTTTTGCCGTTTAGACAAATGGGGCTTTTATACGGTTTAGATAAAAACATCATTGAATTGTATTTACAAATTTTCAACACACAAAATTATATTCTTTTCAACATCTCAGCCTCGGGTCTATTCTTAAAATGTTCTTTAGATTTCGCAAAGTTCAGCCTCGATATTCCTATAAAATATTCTTATATAAAAAACAAAGTGTAAAGTGAACATAAAACTAAGGCTTATGCAATCAAGATGAGAGTCATTGAAAGATGCATTTGTTTAATAAATAATACTTTATATGTTATCAATATATTATTCTGTAAATACATATTGAATATATATTCTATTCATAACTGCATTGGATTTATTTTAGACCTTATTAAATATACTACTAAAAATATTTATTGTGTAATCTGGACCAGATTACACAAATTATGAGAGAAACTTACAGCCTAAATATCAGTACCGACTTCATGGCTGCACCTGCAAAACCGACTTAACGTCAGGGATTGAATGAGAACTGGTGGCATTTCATACTTGGGTTCATTCAAGAAATAGAAAACATGTACTATGTTTCTATCGAGTTTTAGTATAAATCTACTAGCGTTCTATCACGAATGCCGTACTCTGAAAGTGATTGGCTACGCAACTAACTATCTATTCTGTGATAGATAGTGAGTAGCGTAGCAGTGTGCCCTTGTTAACAATCGTATCTATCGCAGAATAGATAATGAGTAGCGTAGCCAATCAGAGAATGGCATCCGTGATAGAACGCTAGTAGATTTATACTAAAACTCGATAGAAACACAGAAAACATGTTTTCTATTTCTTTTAGAAAACACCGCGACGAAAAACAAGAAAACGACTTCTTGGCGTTTTCGAAGTGTCTGTGAAGAGGATTTCGATAAAGTTTTGAATGACTAGTAGATTTATACTAAAACAATTAGATTATTCGCTCTCGATTTCTATGCGTGATAGTTAACTCGGGCTGCGCCCTCGTCAACTATCACGCGATAGAAATCTCGAGCTCATAATCTAATTGTTTAGCTGAAACACGATCTTTAACCAATCAGCGCACATATTTTTTTAGGGGCTGTTTTCTACAATATGGACGATTCCTAACCAACATAACTGAACATCAAGGATCCAAATATTTTGTTGAACGCATCCTAAATATACTCCTTCAATAGCGTCTAATGAATAAGACTAATGAAAGACTAAGGAATCAGATGTTTTCAAAATATTCTTGTCATCAGCACAAAAGCAGCAAACGCCAACGTGAGGTAGACCCAGGCTTTGTGTTGGAAAGGCGACTTGTGATGATGCACCTGTCTCCAGTGGGGAACAGATCTATCCAGCTTGTCTCTAGAGTACAGCGCAAGTAACCCTGGAGTCACAAACATGATGGCCAAGCCAGCAAAAGACCCCTGAAAAATAAATAAAAAAATTAATAACGTAAAAAAAAGATAACTAAATATTACATATAGTTATACAAGTTGAGATAGAAATTACAGTTACTCGAGTTTCACGCTTAAAGTGAAACTTGAGTAACTGTAGTCTCTATCTCAGTTTATATTTTGCTCTACATGAATTTGTATCGAGCACTGCTACGACTGTGTGAAACCACTTCTATTTTCATTGTTTTTTTTCTGTTTATTACATACTTACATGTATTAAATGACTGGGAAAATTGCTTTAATGTGATTGGCTGAGAGTAATTGTTTAATGCAGAATTTAATTTGCCACTTTATGAATGAGTAATCGAAGGAAAGCTTGAGCAAGTAAAAAGGATATTTTCCACTATGCCAGATATTTGAAAATTCTATGGTATTTCACTTGTCCATGTTCATGCAGTTCTGCGAAAATTTTCACTAGGAGAATTTTCAAACATCACTCAAAGTGCAATTCCTTAAACTGCACTCACATTCATTCGATTACTTAAGTACGCAAATTGAGAGATTTACATTGGGACTCCTCCAGTTGGAAGCCGTGTTTGAATTGGGAGGTATAACAAAGTGTTAGAAATTGCCTATATCATGTACGAAATGTCATGCCTTTAAACGTTATTCCTGTCACTTTTTTTTAGTTACAACTTTGTAAATGTGATATTTCCATGTAAGTTCATCATTACTCTTGTTCAGTGGAAACAGGATTTGAAGAGTAAAGGGTACCTTTCTCTAACTTTTTGGCCATGCTGGGAGGAAACGTTTACTGCAAATAATTGAAATGTTTAAAAAATAGTAATTCCATCCTAGTTGAAAAGTAAGACTGAAGCAATCACTACACTGACCGTCAACGCAACTAGTTGACTAACATCGTGCACAAATACAGCTATCACTACAGGTGGCATAAGAGCAATCAGTGTAAAGATCTGCTGGCTGAAAAATAACTTCTGAAAAAGAAATAACAAAATGATATGTGGTTACAATAAAGCATTAACCTGAAGATCTCTTTTTGCAACTACACATTTAGAGTTAACACAAATGATATCTGTTATATGGCTTGTGCTTGTAGCAGATATGACACACGCTCTGATTGGCTAGTTCTAGGGCATTATTCTCCTGTAATGCCCATTGGCCAATTACGGGCCTGCAAAAACACATAAAAGAGCCATATAATAAACAACTTATTAACCTCTAATGTTTGGTCCTTAGGGGAAAATCTCAAAACTCGGCCTTTCTGTATTGACCTCCCTCTGTCAATACCACAAGGTCTTGGTTTGAGATTTTCCTGTAAAGACCTCACTCTTGGTTAATAAGTAGTTAATATTTTATTTTAAGCATTATTTCTTTTATTTCTAGAGATTAAGGTGAGCTCTTGACTAAATTCAGGTCCCTAGAGTTGCTTTGTCCTTATTACCTACATGGCTGATTTTGTATAATTTAATTGATATAAGTTAAGCCAGGATAAATTAGTCTAAATGTTGATGATAACCAGCCTGTTGAAAACATTACATTAGAATTATCAATATACTATGATTATCAGTTGGATAACTTTGGTGACAAAGTTTTGGACTTAAATTACTTGTTGCACACAGGCAACTTTCCTCATTTCCAATGGTATCAAGATTGTGGCCTGCAATTTTGTGCGCTTTGCTGCCAATGACATCAAAGGCTGACTGACAAGTTGCCAATGGAAACGGAGCCAGTTGCCCGTGACAAGAACACAAGTTGAACACTAAAACCTGGTCACCAAACTTTCCTCACGCCTTATCAACTTATCAACTTATCTTTTCCATCAACTGATAATCATAGTATGATGGAAAAGCCCTCAAGATTGAGGTAGTTTACCTTTGATATTGGAAAGAGTGCCATCAAATTGTTCCTCAGTGTTATACATATCAAAGGAAAACTGCTGCTTAGTGTAAACACTGGATACAAGCTGAGAAACTTTGCTAGAATGGCAACTGAGTGCTCACTGAAGTTCAATGTATAAAGCTGACTAATAGCTGAAGCTGGCTTGTTCAGGACTGCAGAAAAAACAATGATGCCATTGTACAGAAGGACTATGACATAGTCCACCAAAACAACTTGTAAGGTTTTTCTCTTGTCAGTCAGAGGAAGGATCACGGATGGAAGAGAATGGTGGCACATAAAGGCAAACACTGCCATGCCAAGGAGCTGAAATGTATATTGAAAAGAAAAAAAATTAAATATTCACACCGTAGTCTAGTACACTTTAGTTATGATGCAGTTTAACCTTTTGAATCCATGACCAAGTTATATTACAAATGCATGTCATGCTGCTCAAGCAATCTATGGGTGACAAAAACTGTGCAGAAAATAATTAGATTGGAAATGACTTTTAGGTGCACATCATCCTTTATCTTGAGAAATTGTATACCAGTATCTCATCACACACTCAATCAATTGATCAACTGTTAAAAGTGACAAAAATGTGCAGAAAGTAATTATTAAATTGGAAATGACTTTTTAGGTGCATGGCATTTTTTATCTTCAGAAAATGTATACCAGTTGAGTATCCTATCACACACTCAAAGAATTTTAATTATCAACTGTATGGAAAGTCCCCTGAAATTTGATCCAAAACATTCTAAACTGTAGCTGTGGGCAGTTTGTCTTCAATGACAATCCAGCATCCGTTAATAAGCAGGAATGTACAATGTAGCAAATTTAGGAAGGGTTGTAATAGCAAGTCCTGCCAACTTTTCTGGCCTATACACCTTGAAAAGGAGGCAAACTCGAGATATACATGTAGGTAAATTTTAACAACTGAAAAGTACCTCTTTAGCCTTTGCTGTATCCCACAATATCAACTGATCTGTTGGCACCCTGTTCCCATTAGCAATGTCCAACACTGTCAGTAAAATCATTAACACCATGGCAGAGTTTCTCATCACCATTGTAAACAACTGAAGATAAGTAGTCTTTTGAAAATTGAAGAAACAGAAAGGTCCTATGAACATGATGAAGCCCCAGAGGAAGGAGTAGTATGATATTTGATGGCTTGCACCAGCAGCTTTTTCTAGTGTTGTGGCTACTGATACAGCATAAATTGCTAGATCCTGAAGGAAACGAAAATCAATTATTGGTTAATAAGATTAACGCTCAGATGTACAAAAAAACTCATACTCCCACTTAGTACAAAGGGTAAGGGGAGGGGTGGGGACATGAATGGACCCCCCCCCTTGCATTTTCACTGTGATAGTTTATTAGTCTGCATATGAGCCATGTGGCCCATCAGACTGGAGCCTATCCCGGTTTCTGTAGCATGAAAAGACTAGGAGTACTTCTCCCCCCCCCCCTGGATGGGATGCTAGTCTATCACAGGGTTACCACCCAGCATCAAGTTTGCAGGTGAAGAGAGGAACTGTGAGAGAAAAGTGTCTTATCCAAGACCACACAATGTAAATAACCCTCAGGTAGCTCTAAAATTAGGTAATAATCAAACCAGAAGCATATGATATGCTTCTAATCAAACTAAATGAGTGATTTTCAGTCCTTTGCTTTTCTCCTGATAGTTTGACAGAACTGCAGCTCATATTTCTCCCAAACGTCTATTTGTGTTTCAACAACTCAACAGAAGGAGAGAAAATGGTTTTGATTTCTTGTTGTAGATGATACTCACCCCATATAAATACAAACAAAGTACTGCATAAAAGAAAGTAGATCCTGCACTGCCAAGGAACAGTTCTGACATGTAACCCATCTCAAATTTCTGTTCAATTTCAAACAAAGGGGGAGACAGTACATCTGTCTTGACTTTTATACTGTTAGTTTCTCCCATGAGTTCATTCTGAGTGGGGCATCCTTTCGCACTTCCTCTTCTTGTGATTGATTTTGTTCTCCGCCATGCATTTGCAGTTGCAAGCACTTCAATCATAAAGGTAGCACTCATGAAGGCCATAAAAGATACAGTAACAAGACAGAGGACACCAGCAATAACTCCTGCTTTGGCAATAGCTGATGGAAGAGCAAGAATTCCCACACCAACAAGAAGATTGAAAAGAAAAATAGCACCAACCTGAAACAAATATAGAGTTACCATGCATTAACTTTATCACTGGCGGATCTAGAGGAGGGGCCCCAGGGACTTGTTCCCCCCTTATTTTGGGTAAGAAAAAAAAAAAAAAATCACAGAAGAAAGAAAAGATGGCAGGGCAAGCAAAACAAAAACAGGC